ACCTTCACAGCAGCCCTGTGAGGTAGACACTGTTATGATTTCATTTTGCAGATGAGGAAACTGAGGTGCAGGAAGGTTAAATAACTTGCCTAAGATCATACAGCCAGAGAGGAGCAGAGCTTGGATTTGTCAAACCCCCATATACCCATCCCCATATTTGGTAATGGTTCATATTTTTCCTATTTGCTTCAAGTCCTCTTATAACACATTAAAGATATAAAATACTACACAGAAAGTTGCAGGACCTGTTATATTCCCATTCCCTGTCCCATGAATGTGGGTAATCCCTCTAGCTCCTTTTTCAAATACATACAAGGGTACTTCAAAAAGTTCGTGGAAAAATAGAATTGAAAGATGCTACAAATCTGTCCATGGATTTTTTGAGGTACCCTCATCCATGTCTTGTATCTATGGAAATATAGTGTTATTTTTCATGTTTCAAACGTTTACATAAGTCATAACATATTCTACACCCTTTGTGCAACTTGTGTTTTTCTCCATTTCCATTGTTATGATTGTGAGCTCTATGTTGATGTGTATTAATCTCTGCACCATCCAGTTGTGTAGCTGCTGGCCACGTTTATGAAAGAAAGTGAGCCGAAAAGCTGGGTACCGATCAAGCTTTATTAAAGGAAAAGAATCTGCTGGGCTGCACTCAAAATGGAGAACAGCAGCTGGTGTCAAGGTGGGAGAGCTTATATAGGCTGTAAGGAAGGCTGCCGTAATCAGGGAGGGGTCTGGTGCTGGTGTGGAAGATAAGGCTGGCGGATGCAATCAGGTGGAAGGTTGCACCCATGCAGAAGTAGAGGAGTTTCTATTTCTCAGAAAACACGAGGTTTCTTGCAAGGGAAAGGCTGGCAGCCATTTTGTGCTCAGTGTGTGTAAAATGGCACCGGTCGCATCCAAGATCCATCAGTTTAGCTATTGAGCACGTGAAATGTGGCAGGTTTGACTGAGATGTGTTGTAAGTGTAAAACACATGCGGGATTTCAAAGGCAATGAAAAACTGTAAAATACCTCTTTAAAATCTTTAATATTGATTATATGTTGAAATAATATTTTGGATATATTGGGTTAAATAAAATATATTACTAAAATTAACTTCACCTGTTTCTTCTTATTTTCTGAATGTATCTTTTAAGAAACTGGAAATGACATATGCGGCTTACTTTCATGGCTCAAATTGTATTTCTATTGGATAGCACTGAAGTGTAGGTCATTCCTCTTAATTGCTGTCAGTCAGGATTTTGTCAATTGGTGAAGGACGATGTCCTAATTCTGAATAAGAAGAAATCATACTTACTGTGCACAGATACTTTTTCTAAGTGCTTTCCGTGTAATAACCCATTTAGTTCTCTTGCAAGTTTACATGGCCTCACAACGTGAGGGGCAGTAATTGTCCAAAGTCATGCAGCTTCAAAGAGGCTGAGCTGGGACTGAAGTCAGGTAGGCTGGCTCCAAAGTCTGACCTTAAACTGCTAACCTGACTGGACAAGGCCCTGTGAGAAACAGTGTGAATCTGCCTAAGAAAGAAATGACCATACAGCTGCTCTTTACATATCAACGGAGCGTCTGCCTTTTTGGACCTTTAACAGAGTGGTTATAACTGCTGTTGTTTGAATGTCCCCCCAAGCTCACATTGGAGCTTGATGGCCATTGTAACAGCGTTAAGAGGGTGGGAAATCCGACTACGGTATTTGAAAGGTGGGACCTTTGAAAGGTGATTGGATCGTGAAGACCATGTTGTCAGGAGTGGATTGGCCCATTCATGGATAAATGGGTTAGTGGTTTAAGTGGGTTATCATGGGAATGGCACTCATGGCTTCACTGAAAGAGGAAGAAGCATGCTAGCACTCTTGCTCAGCACTCACTGTGTGACCCCCTGCATTGCCGTGGGACTCTGTAGAGAGTCCCCACCAAGAAGAAAGCCCTCACCAGAGGTGCCCCCTTGACCTTGGACTTCCTATCCTCTAAAACTGTAAGAAATAAATTTCACTTTATTATAAATTACCCAGTTTCAGGTGTTCTGTTATAAGCAACAGAAAACTGACTAATACACAGACCCACATTTGTTAGGCAATTTCAGCTCTAATGAAACCAGCGCAGGCAGTGTTTTTCTGACATCTGCTTGCAACATTCTGAAGTCAGCTTTATTCTTTGCCACTAATTATATAAACTATTTTTAGGGCAAATTGTCAATGCACCATACTGATCCAAGCTTCCTACATTTTCAATTTGTTTTCTTTTGCCATATCTATTTATACCTGAAGTGGGTTTTTTGTTTTGTTTTTTTTTAAAGAGACCTCCTCATTCTGCCAGTGATAAAGTTGGGACTTGTAATTAAGTTATAAAACACACTGGGAGGGAAAAGATGACGTGCCATTGCCATGGGGATATTACTGATGAATATTGGATTTTTTTTCAAATTCTGGATAAAAACACACTCTAACATTTTGATTCATAAAGTTACAGAACTGATAGGGACCTGAGGTCTCCTAAGTGTCAGTTAAGACCATAGGCTTGGAGTCAGGCAAGCTGCGTGACCCTGGGGCAGGTATCTTCACCATTGTAAGCCTCAGTTTCCTCATCTATGAAACAGAGATCTGATATGGTCTGAATGTTTGTCCCCTCCAAAGCTCATATTGGAACTTAATCCCCAATACAGTATTTGAAAGGTGGGGCCTTTTAAGAGGTGATTGGATCATTATGACTATGCCCTCATGAATAAATTAATCCACTCATGGATTAAGAGATTAATGGTTTAATGAGTTACCAAGGAGTAGACCGGGGGCTTTATAAGAAGAGGAAGAAAGCATGTGGAAGCATGCTCTTGCTCATCCCTTGCCATGTGACACCCTGTGTTGCCACAGGACTCTTTTTTTTTTTTTTTCCTTTTTTGTCTTTTTTACTGACCAGTAACGGGATCGCAACCCTCCGCCCGCACCGCGCTCAGCCAGTGAGCAGGAACCGGTCTCCACATGGGATCCGAACCCTACTCTCCAGTGCGCCACCGGGCCGGCCCTGCCACAGGACTCTTAACAGCACCTTCAAGAAGAAGGCTAGATGCACCCCCTGGAGCTTGGATTTCCCAGCCCCCAAAATTGTAAGAAATAAATTGTTTTTTAAATAAATTACCCAGTTTTAGTTGTTCTGTTAACAGAAAACAGACTACTGTACCAGCCAGCCACCAAAAGAAAAAAAAAAACCCGAAGAACAAAAAACAAAACCGAAAACGGACTAATACAGAATCCTAACATCTACCCTTAGAGCTTTTTTGTGGATTCAATGAGATTGTGATTGTAATTCTATTCCTTGTATCTACTTTTATTTCCATAGTAGTTGTGGTAATTAGTTATTATTACTACTATTATACCATCATTATTTCCCCAGATGACTTCAAGCACATCTGGCCCTATTCCAACAAGCCTTTTTCTCCTCCATTTCTACTCTTTTTTTTTTTTTTTTTAAAGATAACCAGTAAGGAGATCTTAACCCTTGACTTGGTGTTGTCAGTACCACACTCTCCGAAGTGAGTGAACCAGCCATCCCTATTTAGGGATCTGAACCCATGGCCTTGGTGTTATCAGCACCACACTCTCCCAAGTGAGCTATGGGCCAGCTCTTCTACCAGGACTCTTGAACTCTTCCTTTAAGTGGAGAGGTCCCTGGTTAGAAGGAAGAAGACCCTGCAGCCCCCTCTTCCCCATCGCTCTGCCTTTGGGACACTCTGGGCAGCCTTTGCTGAAGAGAGCTGTGCTGAGGCCAGTCACTAAAGAGCCTACAGGGCACACACTCCAGCATCCGCTTACCCCTGCAGCCTTGCTCCATGGGCATCTGCCTCCATACGCCTCCCCCACCCACCATGCACTTGAAAATATCAGCATTGATGCTCTCCTTGGGAACAGACCCCCTGCCCTCAAGCACTCCTGTTTTTCTTGCTACCTGAAGGTGGACTTCCTTGCCTCTCTCTACTGCCCAGAATGGTGGACGGAGGAAGGACTCCAGCTCCGCCAGTTGACAGCTTCCCTGGCTCATGTCTTCTACTCACTAGCTAAGCTTAGGATGGGTGTGCCCATTGCCCAGAAATTTAATATAAAGCCCCCATATCACATTTGTCTTGAGAAGCATAACTAGAAACCCATAAGAAGTCCCCCTCTTTGGCCTAGGATCCTGGGAGGTCCTCATGAAAACGAGACCTTTCTGGGGTCAGCCATGTGCGTTAAATTAGAATGCAGTTTAGGCTCTGCCATGACCCTGAACTAAATTAAATTGTAGAAGTGAGGCAACTGGAACCTAGTGCCTTAAGGATCTGGCCCAAAAGTGTGGAGAGTACCTGACGTTGTCGCTGTTTTAGGATATGATATTTATTCCTAGCACAACTCCCCTCTCCCTTGTATTGAAAGTTAAGACAGCCTCCTCCCAAACACATACACACGGTTAGCCCAGCACCTGCCATCAGCAGGTGCATAATAAATGTTTGTCGAGTTGAATAACTAGTTGCTCCCTCTGCAGCCATGTCTTGGCCTCTGCAGCACGTGGTCTGGCACTAAGGGCTCGGTCCGGGCTTGCTGCCTGTCCTCCTGGAGGCTGCACGGTGTCGGAGCTGCGGGTCCTTCGTCCCGGAGCACCCAGGCTCACGCACACAGGTGCTCGCTAACTGTTGTCTGCTCTTCCCGTAGTTCCAGTTGCTTCTTCGAGACCGCGACGGGCTGGTCCATGCTGCGCCTATTTATCTCAAGGATTCCTTGCTTTCGGAGCCTCTTCGTCATGTGAATAGGAAAACAGTTATTTCTGAAACAAAACTCCTATTTAATAATTTGGCTATCTTGACTCACAACCTCATGCAGGCCACCCCAAGCCCGCCCGCTGCGCGTTGCCCAGCAACAGCATTCCCCGCCTCCGCGCCTTTGCCCCGCCCCATGCCGAGTGCGCACGCTCAGGACCCTTCTTCCCGGCCCCGCCCCCGCGCGGCGCGGCGCGCGGCGATGACGTAAGAGTCCGCGACGTTTCCAGTGGGCTCGTCCCCGTATTTCTGCTGGTTGATTTGCTGACTGGACTCCCGGCGTCATGGCTTCCTCCGGGGTGGCTGCTGGTCGACAGACCGAGGATGCGTTACCGCCGCCGTCCGAGCCGCCGCTGCCCGAGACCAAGCCGCTGCCGCCTCCTCAGCCGCCACCGCCGGTCGCTGCGCCTCAGCCGCAGCAGTCCCCGGCCCCGCGGCCTCAGTCACCCGCCCGCGTGAAGGAGGAGGAAAACTACTCCTTTTTACCTTTGGTTCACAATATCATCAAATGGTAAGGGCCCAGGAGAGGACCCGCCACCACACTTACTGTCGCTTCTCGTCTCACCCGTTTCAGAGCTGCAAGAGGCCTAGGCTCTCTGGGTCATGCCCCCATTTCACAGATGGTGAATTGAGGCCCATAGTGGGAAGAGTGCCTTTCCCACGACCACACAGTCGTTCCATGAGTTCAGCAAACACTGAGGCCCGAGAGTTACGATATGCTCAAGGATGAAGCCAGTTTAGAGACTAAATGCTCAGGCTCTGTGGTCCAGCTGCTCAAGTTTACATCCCAGCGATCTTGAGCAAGTTAAGCTCCTCGGGGCCTCACTTTTCTCACCTATAATACAGGGTTTTACTCACTTTGGTTCCTTTTTCCGACAGATCCTACAGATATGCACATCTTCCCTGTGATGCACACTGCGTAGTGCTATGGGGTGTTCACAGTAAAAAGGGACTAACTTTTCACCCCAACAGGGCTCACTAGTCAAAAGGAAGAAAAAAGACTAGAACGGGAATAACCCATAATTCAGAAAGATTGAGAGAGGAGGAGTGATGATGGAAAACGTTAGAGGAAGCAGAGACACAGAAGTTGCCCCAAATGTTTAGATCCTGGTGTACTAACTTTGTTCTAACACAGTATCAAGGGAGTTGATGGTTATCCTACTGGCCAGGATTTAGTTTAGCCTGGGTTTTCAAACTGACCCTGTAAAAGAAAAAACAAACAAAAAAACCCTGAAGTCTACTTGCCATGTTTGCCTAAATTATTTTTATTGTTACTTCAATATATATCCACATGATGCTAAGTGTAAACCCCTAGGCTTGTAACTCTTATTCAACCATTAAAATCCAAGACAAAGTGAATTAAAACAAAATTACCATTCTAGTAACATTCAAGTACACATTAATGTGCTCTTTGATGTTTTGCCAAAATGGAATTGCTACTCACAACATGAAAGCCTTAATGGCTCAGCTTCTTTTGGATGACCTGATGCTCTTCCACCACTTATCTCTTCAAACGACTGCAAAGCCTTTGTTCTCATATTAGACCATGACTTTATTTGGCTCCACTGGACATGAAAGTACTGTTTATAGGGTAAGGCAGACTCTGTTCTGTTTTAGTTATCCTGTGATAATGAAGTGGTACTTCTCAGCAGCAGTGAGACTGCAAACAGAAATGCAAATGCAGACCCTGCAGTCCCAGGGCAGGGGTGGATTATAAAGGGGTTATCCAGATTAACCCAAATGTAAGAAAAATATGGAAAAATGAAAACACAAAATGTACACATTCACAAAGACAGCTCTTGGACCCCTGAGTATATTCTTGAGTTCTGGTAAAACAGTGGGGTTTGGCTAGTCTTAAAGTTGGGGCAATAGAGTATGCTAGAGAGAACAGACTTTGAAGTCAGACAATCTTGGGTTCAAATCTGTGTGCTGATGCTTGCTTCCCTTGTAATCTTGGTGAACACTTAAACTTTGTAGGTTGTAATTTTCTTATCTCTAGTATGTCAATAATGGACCTCAAAAGATGGGTTCAAATTATAGCTCTATAATGTACTGGATGGGTGACCTTGGCAGGTAATTTAGCTTCTCTGAGCCTCTTTTTCTGTTGTGAAGTGGGAATAATAATACTTAAGTCATAAGCTTCTTGTGAGTTGTACTCAAGAGTGTGCCTTTTGAAAGACGGTAGGTTAGTCACATGTGTTTTTCTCTGTTTCCTCTAAAAGGGAAGTGAAGGGTTTTTGTTTTTGTTTTTTTAAACCAAAAAGAACAAGACAGGAGAGGATTGCCATAGAGTGGATGGAAGAGGCCTAACTCACCTACCAGCTGCAAAGTAGCTGCCTTTGACCATGGCCTCCCCGCAAATCTCAGGAACTGTCAGGGCCAGGAATCTCAGAATAGGGGCGAAGGTGGGACTAAGAACAGGAGGATTATTTAGAAGTCTGCTTAAGAAGCAGGTCCCCACAGTCCTGTCTCCCTGCTCCAAGCAGCCAGGTGACCACCCTTCTTCCATCTTGGCAGACGATTAAAGGGTTACTCTTTCCCAAGACTTATTCTTAGAGAGGAAAAAGAGAGTGTCTGGCTGGAAGACACCAGGTACGTTGTGGTGGGGGGGGGGGGGCAAAAGTTTCTCTTAAACTTTTTAAGAGAAAGTTTACAGAGTAGTGAGACCCCACCCTAGCCTTCTTCCCCCACCTGTCTTCTAGACTGGCAGACAAAGAGAATGGAGTTATCTTCTCTGGGGTGTTTGTCAGCCCAAGAGAAAAGACATTGGAAAAGGAAAAAGACATTGGAAAGAAAAGACCTTCTTCCCCAAGCAAGAGCCTAATCAATTCACTCTGAGAAGGCAAAAAAGCGTCACTCATACTCAGAGCTTCCACTAAGACTAAATTAGTTTATCTCTGCTACTTACAACAAGTTACCTGGAACTTGGTAATTTTTAAGAAAACAAAATTTATTGCTTACAGTCCAGGGGCTAGGAAGTTCAAAGCCAAGGGAATATATCTGCTGAGGGTCTTGGTGGTGGCAGTAGTGACCTAGGGGTCGAACATGGCAGAACATGGCAGAGCAGAGAGAGACTAACCTCTCATGTGCTCTTCTTTTAAAGTCCTCAGAACTACACCGATGACGACCATTTTTAATCCATTCACTGTGGCATGGTCCTGCAACCTAATCACCTCTTCAAGGCCCCACCTTTCAATTGCCGTAATAGGATTTCCCACCTTCAACAGTGACAGTGGAGATTTAAGCTTCAGTGAGGTTGGGGGAGCATTCAATCTACAGAAAGGACTTTTAGTGTTTTACTGTTAAATATATGACTGACAGCCGAGACCACTAAGCATGTGAAGAAAACAAAACACCTAGTAAGAAAGAAAGGACACAATAGAAGAGCGGAAAAAGCCACTTGGAGGAAACAGTATGCACAGTGATACTGTAACCATGAAAATGACTAGGATCCACTCTGAAAACCCTCAGTACAGGTGTGTGTATTAGTTTGTTTTCTATCATTTATAACAGATTACCTGGAACTGGGTAATTTATAAAGAAATGAGATTTGTTTCTTGCAGTTGTAGAGCCAGGAAGCCTAAGGGCATGGCTCAGCACCTGGTGAGGGCCTTCTTAGTGGGGACTCTGCAGAGTCTCAAGGTGGTGTAGGGCATAACATGGCGGGGAGAGGTGGGGGCAAGAGCACATGTTAAGGTGCTCATTTGCTCTCCCGTGACAACCCTCTCATCCAGTAACCCATTAATCCATGAATGGGTTAATCCATTCATGAGGGCAGAGCCCTCATGGTCCAATCATCTCCCAAAGGCCCCACCTCTCAACACTGCCACATTGGGGATCAAGGTTCCACATGAGCTTTGGAGGTAACACTCAGACTATATCAGTATGTGTTTGAGTTTATGGGCTAATAAGGGAAGGGGACATAGCATGGTAAGGATAGAGGAGAATGGGAGAGGAGACCTCATAAAGCCTGAAGAAGTCAGAAATCTTGTTAAGGGCCATTCAAACAATGAGTCTTAAGTTAGGAAGGGAGGAGGGAAGAGGGGCAGTGTAGGAAGAGTATGAATGGGTAAGGGCACAACGCCAAGGAATAGCATCAACTCGTGCGGGTCAGCTCCCAGTTTGGCGGTGCTGAGCGTAAATCCAAGGAAGGAGGGAGAGAAGAAGGGAGAGCTGGAACAGAAGGAAGAGCCAGGATACAGAGGGCAGCATGTCGCCCTTAGGGTGTGGGACTTTGTCTTCTGAGGGATGGGGAGCTAGCAGAACTTAATAGGCTGCAAAGCCATTTAGTGCACCATCCTGGCAGGCCTGGCAAGAGGGCACGGGGGCCGGGAACAGGTTCAGTCACCCAGGGTGGTTTTCCCAGGCCCTTGATCTCTTCCACTTCCCAAGTGGTCCTTTGAACATTTGCTTACTCCTGCCCAGAGGATGAATAAGGAAGTAAAACCTGAAGTAGTGAGTTTAGTCTTTATCATTCTCATAAAGAATTAAGTGTTACATTATTCTATTTTTTAAAAAATTATTTAATAAAAGTAACAATTGCAAATTCAAAAGGTGTAAAATGAAAAATTGTTCCTTTCCCCAAGTCTCCTCACCAATGGTAACTGCTGTTAGTTCTTTCTTAAATTTCCTTCCAGGAATTATATATGCATGTCTTTTCAAAAATTTATACAAATTGAGATCATGCTGTACTTTGCTTTTTTCACTGATTAGTCTATTTTGGATACTTTTCTATGCTACACATAAAGATCTACCTCATTAAGGCAGCTGCAGAGAGTTCCATCTTGTGAATGCACCATAATTTATGTAACTGTTCTTCTGTTTATGGACTTTTAGGTGTTTTTCTAATTTTTGCTATTACCAGCAGTGCTGGGATAAGCATCTTTGTATGTGAGTTAAGTTTATGATGAGATAAATCCTCAGCAGTGGAATTGCTGGAGCAGAGGGTACATACATTTTTTATTTTGATACCTATTGCTAAATTTAGAGTGCTACATCTTTTTAGCTAACTCCTTCTCCAAAATTCAGTCCTGTAGACTGGACTGTTTCAATTAACCTAAAAAACATATTAACCTAAAATGGCCCATAAATCTGCCACCCAGAAGGCGTTTTTAAAAAATTAAAGTTGTAGATGGATTCCAAGAGTACCCATAGATATAAAATGGAAAGTGAGCCTCCCCCTTCCTTCCTCCTAGTTCTCTCCCTTGTCCCACAACTGCATAATATTCCATCTTATGAATATGCCATCATTTATTTAAACAGTTCGCTGCTCAAGGGCATCCTATTGTTTCTGACGTTTTGCTGTTGCAGTCAGTGCTGTGGTGAGCTTCTTTGTCAGAAATGGGATATGTGGATTTAGAATTTTGATCACTATTAGCAAATTCAGAAAGAATGCACCAATTGATGCTTCCACCAACATTTTATTTGTGTCTTTTTCCTAAACCCCTGCCATCACTATTAAGCTTTTAACTTTGGCAAATCTGGTAGGTCAGGACAAAAACGATATATTGA